TAGTGATTCTATGATTCTATGTCCATGGCACCAGCATGGACCAGTCAGCCCCTGAAGCAGCACCAACGACAGGCAGGACCAGGAAGGGTTACAAGCTTTAACCCTGAAATGTTCCCAGTGCTACCAAGCTGAGCGGTGTGACTCAGGGGAAGGGATGGCATCCAGAGGACCTGGACAGGCAGGAGAGGTCGGTCCATATCAGCTTCATGAAGTTCAGCCAGGCCAAGTGCAGGGTCCTGCACCTGGGTCAGGGCAATCCCAAACATGGGTGGTGGCTGGGCAACACATGGATTGCAAATAGCCCAGCGGAGAGGGACTCAGGGGTATTAGTGGATAGAGCACTGAATGTGAGCCAGCAACGTGCACTCACGGCCTGGAAAGCCAGTCGTTTCCTGGGCTGGATCCAGAGAGGGTGGCCAGCAGGGTGAGGGAGGGGATTCTCACCCTCTGCTCTGGGGAGACCCCCCTGCAGTTCTGCTCCAGCTCTGGGGCCTGCACAGCAGGACACGGAGCTGTTGGAGCGAGTCCAGAGGAGGCCACAGAGATGCTCCAAGGACTGGAGCCCCTCTGCCATGGGGACAGGCTGGGGGAGTTGGGGGGTTCAGCCTGGAGAAGGGAAGCTCCGGGGAGACCTTCCAGTACTGAAAAGGGGCTACAGGAATGCTGGGGACAGATTCTTTATCAGGCAGTCCAGTGACAGGATGAGGGGCAATGGTTTCAAACTCAGAGAGGGCAGTTTTCCTTTGGGTGTTAGGAAGAAATTCTTAACTGTGTGGGTGGTGAGAGGCACTGGGACAGGTTGCCCAGAGAAGCTGTGGATGCCCCATCCCTGGAAGCATTCAGCTTTGCCATACACTGTGATGCTGTGGAGGAAAGAGACCGTTTTGAAGATGTTCTGTGTGTTCCTTATAATTTTATTTCAGAATTAGCAGGACTTGTGCTGATGAGTTCTACTTCTACTGAGGTTTTACTGATTGGTTTTATTATCCTCTTTTCACGGTAATAACTTGTGCTCATAAAAGGGCAGTGTGAGCTTTTGGGGTTGAAAGAAACAGCTCCTTCATGGTACCGTGTCAGGAATGGTTACAGGAGAATCAGCATTACTTCCTTCTCTTTGGGCTTCAGGCACAGGACGTTTATTATACTGCAGTGAGAATAAAAATCATTGTGGCATCAAAAAATGCACAAAAGCACCATATTCCTCCTTCAGTGAGAAGACAACAAGGCATCCTAAGCCTTGTCCCTGAAACACTGCTGCTGGATTTACAACTCTCCAGCACCCAGTGTAAGAACTGCTCCCACAGTTCTGGGAACAGAAGAGAAACCGAAACTGGGAAAAAAACGTGTGCAGGATTGTCCGTTGGTGGGTCCCAGACTGCGAGGGGAGCAGTCGCCCTGTTTTGTGTGACTGAGCAGTATCAGCCTGGGGCAAGTCCTGCGACTCCTGCTGGCTTTGTTTTACCCCGGGGATTGGTTCGGCGGGGGGTTCCGTGACTGGCCTATTGAGGGGAGTTTCAGCCCATTCACATTTCAGGTTTCCACTGCACAGTATGTTCAGTCTGAACTCAGGCTACATATAAGTATGTTCTCTGTTAATTTAGGACTTCTGAGACTGTTTAGTATAGAAGAGTTGTTCTGTGCACCCATCTACTGCACTAATTTGGGTGAAACAAGGTAATTATAAGTTGATGTCATGTGGCTAAAAAAATACCTGTTTATTCCTTCCGAGTTTCATGGTGCTGACCTTCTGCACAACACACATCTGCATTTTCTGGGCCTAGAGCCTCCCTGGGTAAAGTTATGACCTTTATTGTGCAATTTGTAATTAAAAAGTTGAACCTCATGCAAAATCTTTGGGACCTTGTGGATCCCAGCAGACTGTCTGTGCTGCCTGAGGTTCATCTTTCCCCAAGTAAGAGCAGAATTGTGTATTTGCCAGAAAAGGGACTAGTTCCCACTGACTGAGTATTATTTTGAGGCTGAAATCACGTACATTGTGAGGCGAGGTTGAGAGGGGAGGAGAGCAAGAATGGATAAATAAATGAACCAACCCAAATGCCTGTTGGAAAAGAACCTCCCCAGCAGGGAGGGGGGGACATAGCAGCCCACCCCTGAGAAACACCCCGCAGTTCTGCTTTTCCAGCTGTTTGCAGAACATACGATTTCCTGTTCCTCTCCTGATGCCATGAATTGCAGAAGAGGTGGTTGGAGGGGCCTGTTTCAGGAGTAAGATCCCAGAAGACCAGGCAGGTCTGCAGGCTGCTCACCCAAGGTGACCTGCAGCACGAAGCCAGTGAGCTGCCACTGTCAGCAGGGTGGTGTGGAGGGGAAATGACCGTGTGGGTGCCCCGGGGCTCCCTGTCCATGGGTGTCCGTGTAAGAGCTCTTCTGACCTGCGAAGAGCAACTGGTCACATGGCCGTTGGAACGGCAGGAGACTGGGTGCTGCTGGTAGCAGAGAACCGTGTGGGAGGACGGGGGGTTGGAAGGGGATGTCTCTAGGTGCAACGCCTGGGTGACAGCTATTGCGGGATCGCTGGCAGCAGGTCCTGCACTGGGGCTGCCCGAATCCAGCACGAGGGCCCCGATCAGGTGGCATGTAAGTCTCGTTCGCTGTCATTTTACAGTCAGCATCTTAAATGCAGTATTCCAGCACCTTTAGATGCCAGAGAGCCTGTGGAATGGCTTTTCAGGGGAGCTGGACTGCTCCCTCACTTCAGAAGCACTTGCAGGCGTTCATGCCGGTTGCTGAAAATTAAGTGCCAAGTGCCACGTTTCTTAAGTCAAAGATAAGTCTGGAACCTGTTGTCAGGGCTTGGACAACTGGCTGAGTTCAGGTGTTACAGGTGTCGGGTCACGGTAGTGAAACCACAGCTCCTCTCCCGGCTGCCATCACCGAGCTGCTCGCCCTCCCGGCTCTGCCCAGCGCATGCCAAGCTCCATGTTCCCCGACTCCGCTGGAGAACGAGTTTCTTCAAGAATGTGGCCTGGGGAATGGAAGTGGGCAGAGGCCTGTGACAGCCGAGTGGCAGCACTTTCAGGGGGACTCCGCACTTCCTTTTTTCTCAGTGAGAGAACCCTGAAGCCCTGGGATTGCAAGCAGGAGATCGGGATTGAGGGTTCACAGCCGCCTTGTTTGCTTTGGTAGCTCTAGCAGGCTGTGAACGTGGGAATCGGGAAATGTCACTGGGAGTCAGAGGGGAATCGAAATCAGCTGCGTCTTTCTTCCCCCGAGGCATGTAGAAAGGAGAATATTGAGATACTTCTGAGCGCCACATCTGCCTGGGCATTTTCCCATGGGAAATGCCATGCCTTGGAGTTGCTTTAGGGATTGAGAACTAAGGATCCTGAGGCTGGCACAGAAACTGGAGTCAACACCCTCACTTTCCGTAATTCACTGGCTTTGCAGCACATCAGCTTTACGCTGTGCCTGAAAATCAATGAGTCCTCCTAGGATTAATCATTGTTTCTACTTTATTAACAGTGTAATTAAACCCAACAGACTAACATTGTCAAAGCAGTGTTACTTCTCATTCTCTACAAGGAAAGACATTGCATAAATAATTTCTGAGAAAAAAATAAATACGTCCTTCACCCTCTGAACCGAAACTGTTTCTCTCCAGGTTCTGGTCCCACACAGAGTAAGTGGAAAATCGATCAACATCACAGATTTCCATCATTTATATGATTTCAGCATAAACTCTACATAGACAGTAAGAAGAAGGAGGAACTGCCTTCACCCCAAACTGTGTTCACCTGACACTAGGCTTAGCGCTTCTACAGGGTATGCGCAGCACGTGGCGGTTCACTTTCTACCAGCGTTCTTTAAGGGGAACCCACAGGCGTTAGCCTGCATGTTGAGAAGTCAAGGGAAGTTGCTGTCGGACGAAATACATCCCAAGGTTGCACATACCAATGACTTTTCCAGAGGAATTAATGACTTTAAAATTAGCAGAGGCTTGCCAGCACCTTACTCCCAGAACTTGGCTTGTACAGTCTTAGCACTGCAAAGCGTGTGGCCAGATCATCCAAACTCTTCAGAATGGAAAATGTAAATTGAGCGATCGGAGCTGAGATTAGTCAATTTTGTTCTAGGAAATAAGGAATAATCAGTGTCCTTTATGTTAGATTGTGCACATCGTTTGCTGTTTGCAGGACAGTGAGGTTATCTGGTTGGAGAGGAGCATCCACTTCATAAGATGCTCCACTTAACGATTTATTTCATTGTCCCTAAAGCAAATGTGGTTTAAGTTGTCAAATCTCAGTTTTGAATCTGTTGATCCTACAGTCTTTTAATTAAAAGTATGACACAGATAGCACACTTCTGCTTTAATTTTGGGAACGAGTGCCGTATTTTGATTTCTGCGTTTCTAAGAAAATAACTGGGGCATGAGGGCATCTGACAGGTGGTGTATTTCCCAACGACGGGACTTCCGTCACCATACCTTGAAATCCCTGTTGCTTCTAGCAGCTCCTTCCGAGAGTGGTAACTCTCCCGGTGCCTTCCTTAATCACATGCTTGTCCTGCGTCATGGCACTTAAAAAGTGGGAAAGGGATCTCTATTCCTGTCACATAAGGTGAGCAGAATGACTTCTAACAAGTGTGATTGACGCCACGACAGCTTTGCTTTCCCCTGCCTTCCTACCTGTACAAGCCACATGCCCTCACGTGCATCTCCGAGGTGTCCCTCTCCTCTCAGACCGTGTAGGTGCTGCTACCTCCAGCTTGGCATACCCCCTTCTCCTAGCAGACCATAGCTGCTATAATCGGATCGATTTTTGACTATGTGAACCTTTGACCCATCTCAGTGGCAGGAATGGGAGCCTGCCGCAGTCAGAACCTCGCGCTGCGGGCTGCGAGTGCCGTCTGCTGTGCATGAAATGCCCCGAGCTGCCGGGCTGCACTGCTCAGGGCCGCCCTCTAATAAGCGTTTTCTAACTCGTGCTGGTTGGATTTGCTGCTTCTGGCCCTGGAGAGACGGGGCTTCTTGTTCTTCTGGGGCCTGACTGTGGCCTTTCCCAAGTCCTTCAGCTCGGACTGGTTGTGGTAGCGAGTGTAGCGCTTGCATTTGCAGGACGTGACGACGCGGAGTTTGTAAGTCCGAGTCTCTTCCTCAGGACAAGCCATGGGGATGCGCTGCGTGCGAGTGTGTGCGGGAATGCAGCGGTAATCCAGGGCATTCTGACGCCACCACTTCCCTCTCCCAATAGAGTTGGGAAGGAGGTGCGAGGGGACGCACTGACCGGAGCAGACCAGCTCCTTGACGGGCTTGATGCTGCGGCAGGGCCCCTCCGTGATATGGCGGGTGGTCCGCATCTCCCTGCAGCTGAAGTCGGAGGCGTCTGCAAACAAGAAACATACTCATTACTCACCACCTTCCCCAGCCTTGAGAACGCACGTTTTTGTCTGTGTAGCAGACCTCTAGCTCTGAGCTAGGTACAAGCTGGCCATCTCCGCTGGCACTTTGGAAAGAGTATCTCCAAGGACTCACTCCTGCAGCTGCTGAATATTTGGCTGCTCAAATTATGAGACCCTGGAATAACCCCATGGGAACTGAGGAATGAAATCCTTCTCTTGCCACTGGGTAACTCCCATGCCAGGGCTGTGCAGGGGGCCAGCAGAGCTTCTGAAGTAACTCCAGTGGCAGTTACTTCATGGGAAATTTTGATGGGATCTCCTGGCTTCGCTGACCTGTGGGCAAAACCTCCCCCCGTCGCTCTGGTTTAACTCTAGTGACTTCAGAGCTTCACTCCAGACTTAAATTCTTTGCAACAAACGAAGTGTTCCTTCAGTGATTTTTAACTATCATAACCTGCTGGCGGTTGGGGAAACAAGCAGGGAACAACAAGCATTGCCCACTCCTCGGGCGTTAGGTTTTCCAAGTTTCCTGCTCACTCTGATAATCGCGTCCCACAGAATTTCTGTCGGACATCTGGAGGCCTCTTGTGGCTGATTAGGAACCTTACAGTGGATTTCCCCCCCTTCCTAATGGAGAGCTATGGGCAAATGAAACAACAGAAGTATAAGATTTTTTAGTTTTGAGGATTTAGAAAAACTTTCTGGCTGTAGGAACAGACTTTTCCCAAAGGCATCTCTGTTGCTAAGTGACATGTTGGCTGATTGACTTGTTTGGAAGGGACAGAATTTGATTTTTAAAGGCTTTTATCAAATAACTTAATCCAGACAAACACATTAATGTTCTTCCCTCAGCCAAAGGAGCAGTTTGACCTCAGGAACGCTGCTTGGGCTGGAAGTCCTCCAAGCTCAGCTTACAAACCAGCGGCTGTGTCTGTTAGGCCCCTTCTTGCTGCACATGGGGGTTCCCTCCTTAGCACATCAAAAGAGAATCATGACCTAGAGTCATTAGTGACAGGACAATGTGTGTACAGGCACTGTTTGTTTTTCCTGTGAAGTGCAGGAACATGATTTTCGGTGCTCAGGGTTGTGTTTCCCAGGGTACAGCCAGCAAGATTTCAGTTAAAGGGCTGCGTCAACAAAACGATCCTTGTCACGACGCTAGGACAGAAACGCTGACAACAAACCCCATGTGTGCTTAGTCTAATCCTCCCAGGTTCCCGAAGCGTCTGAGGAAAATTGTCTGTCTGTAATACGGAAAGCTCCGAGTCAGGTGTACTGGGCACCAGAGCACACAGGCCAAGGCAGTTACACCTGTGGGCGCTCACCGCAGCTACCCAGGTTTATTTTTTGTGCGTGTGTGCTGCCCCGTACTCTGCGGGTTCCCTGTACTGCAGTTACTCACGGGCTGGTGCAACATCGTGTCCTGGGAAGGTCTGGCCACTTTGGGTCACCATCGATTCCTCGTGCTAAAGATGCTAAAATCAGTTTGCAAGACCATTTCTGTCGTGAGCAACTGCCCGGTCTCCTTTGCTCTTTCTTACATACGTGTCCTCCCACTTCAAAGCCTACGCACACATTAGTGGGACAGATTCCCCAGCTGGTGTCAGAGCAGTAAGAGGCTACAAAATGAAGGTGTTGGGGTGTAACAACAAAACCATCCTGCCTTGACCTGGGGGGGCTGCCTGTGAGAAGCAGAGTGCTCCCCCTTTTAGGGATTTAAGACCCTCATAAGGTCACACTCTCAAAAACATGACTTTGTGTTTTCTTCTCTTTGAAAATCGCGTTAACGCTCTGATTTTAAACACCCTGGTTTTAAACACCCTGGCTGACAGCCGCAGCAGAAAAACACAAACCCCTTCCAGTTGACAGTGAGCAGCACATGTCTCCTCCCGCTGAAGGCAGCCGCCACGTGCCAGTCCTGCTGTTTGAGCTCAGACTTTCCTAGTGTGACTCTTTCTAAACATTGAGTTCCCATTGTCTCCACTGTCAACCAACTGCCTCCTCCCAACACCCAAGAGAGCACGATGACTTGTGTGTGCTCGCAGTGCCTGCGGGCAGCTGGGCAGAGTGGCCGTGCGCACCGAGTGCCCAAGGACTGCTCAATACACCACACTTGTCATCAGTCGGCTCTGCCCGGTCCCTTCTGGCGTTTACACTGACCCTTCTTCGACACTAGATGTACCTCCCTGCCGCCCACAGCATCAGGGCTGCACCTCAGGGCTGGAGCAAGCAAACCCCCATGGTAGCAAGTGTTCTTCTAGCAGCTCAGTGTCAGGCTCCAAAGCAGTAATGATGATGCCGACGCACTTACCGTTTGGGTCTGAAGCTTGTTGTATGTGTCTTCCTCCGTGCTTCGCCTGGTTCATGGTGTTGTTGTTGCTGAAAGCCTGCTCCATCGGCGTTTCCGTATTCTCAGGGATCTCGGGAATGATTTCGGTAGCGTCATTTTTAAATGTTTGCCACCCTTCCACAGACCGGCACGCGATTTGTATTAGGACGCAGACGGAGCACAGAGCCCAAGAGCTCTGCATGGTGGCAGCTCCCAGGTCAGCTTCTCAGCACCCTGACAGGCTCCGATCCTAGGCGAAGGCACATTATTCCCCTTTTTTAAATCCCTTTTGGAACCAAGGCAGCCAATGACTATACGAAGTGGGAAGGGCCAGACAACTCCTCATTCATCTCGGCTTTTGTCAGTGTGAAGCAGAACGGGTGTGTGGGGGTGGGTCAGTGACAATATTCCACAGCCGCTGTGTAACTTCTCGCCCGCGCCGCCGTGTTGTGCCTGGCAACACTGGTGATTGGCAGGACTCGGGTGAGCTGCAGCGTGACAATACTTGGCAGTTTCGTCCGACAATGTTATAATTGAAACCTGCTCCTACTTCCATATTTGACTCCTTGGCAATTGTCTTTTCCAAAGGCTTTTTTAGACTCTGTATTTTTATGGCTGTTCTCCCCCCAGTGCTCAGTACAAAGGAAGCAAACCTGGAAACTGCAGTGCAGTAGCTCTGCTTTTCTGGCTCTGCAGGCAAATGATTTCGGGGTGTGTGTGTGTGCGCTTTCTTTTTTCCCTTTACAAAACAAGGAGCTCAACATTTTGTTTCATAAATGTACTGGAAGACATAGGAAAGAGCTTCTTTTCACAATGAGAATCTGTTTTCCTTTAAAAATAGGCCCCTTGGAATACGGTAGTTGGGGTAAACAGCCACAATGTTGTGCATCGTGCTTTTTGCTGTGCTCTTTCTCACATTTTTATCACTTTAAACAAAAAGAGCACTTGCATTGTCTCGAATTCATTGCGTGCCACTACTTCTGCTGATGTTCAAGTGCTGAGTGTCGGACGTTTGCTTATTCTGAACCCGAGAACGTGACCAGGCTGATTCCCATGAATGATGCCAACCCCAGAGAGAATTGTTGACCTTAGGCCCATACCCAGGCTGCGTTCACGCGTTGGTATGAAATCCCAGCAGTGGTGTTCTTCCTCCCTGCAAAAATAAGGTGAGAGTTGCATCATTTCTTTGCCTCAGAAACACAAGCACTTTCACGCTCTTTGCAAATAATGTCAGGCTCAAGACGTCATTCGGAAAGCATCTCTGCTTTCATAGAATCACAGAATCCCAGACTGGTTTGGGTTGGAAGGGGCCTTAAAGCTCACCCAGTCCCACCCCCTGCCATGGGCAGGGACACCTTCCACTAGACCAGGTTGCTCCAAGCCTCATCCTGCCTGGCCTTGGACACTTCCAGGGATGGGGCATCCACAGCTTCTCTGGGCAACCTGTGCCAGTGCCTCACCACCCTCTCTGGGAAGAATTCCTTCCTGATGTCCCATCTCCATCTCCCTCTTTCCATTCAAACCCGTCACCCCTTCTCCTGTCACTCCCTGCCTTTGGAAAAAGTCCCCCCCAGCTTTCTTGTAGCCCCCCAGGCATGGGAAGGCTGCAAACTGCTTACTGGGTTTGTGGTTTTTTTCCTTCGAAGAACAGGCTAGACTGCCACGACAGTGGTTCCTGAAATTGTGTAAAACGATCTCGAGTTCTGCTTTCAGGCCTTACAGTACAGCGATTTTCTTTGGAAATACAGATGTGATCTTCTAAAGGCCCTCCAAGGGATAAAATAGAGTGGGGTTTGGGGTTTTTTAGTTGTTTGGGGTTTTTTTAATGGAGAAAGTTGGGAAGGGTGACCAGGAACTAAACAAATGTTTTCAACTGATACTACGTTGTAGTGGCATTTCCCAGTAGTGACCTTGTGCAAAGGGAGATCACAGCCCGTGGCACAATGGGATACGGCTGGAAAGCAGATCAGGAGAGCAGCAGCAAACTGGGTACCAGTGACCACTGCCCCACTGCTACCTGTGCACTCACTTCTTAAATGTCCCCGTAATGGTCCGTGCCCATCACAGCCCAGTTCCTGCTGGTATCTTGTCAGGCAGCGTCCATCTGCGCACGCTGTCAGGCCGTGTTGGGCTGCTATAGAGAACCACCTTTGCAGCAATCATGTGTCACCTAAAACACAAATGTTTTCTCTATGTAGCTTCTCCGAGTACTCAATCCATCCCCCCTAGTAACTGTCTGAACACTGATCTGTATTACCCACTGGGAGAAATAATACCAAAGGGTCTACATTTACCCTCTGGCTTAAAGCTTCTTGCCCACAAGCTGGGAGGGCAGCGCAGCAGAGGTAAGAAAACAACCCAAATCCCATAGACAGTCAGATTCCTTAACTACAAAAGCATTCTTCCACGTCCTGCAGCTGTTTGCTTTGTGTCTGGGCTGCAGTCCCCCAAACAATTGATTTTGCAGTTAATGGAGCACAGGAAAAAGCAGCGAGGACCTATGAAGGATGCTGTCAGAAGGGGCTCCCGCACCAGGGCGGGACAAGGCCGGACCCTTCATAGTCAGAGCTGGGATGCTGTTTCTGAGCTGAGAAAACACCCCCTTAGCTGTGCTATAGGCTTATCAGGGGAGGTACAGGGAGTAGCTTGGCATTTTACACTGAGTATGTTGCTGCTGCTTTCTGCACTCAGACCCGTCCTGCTGTGCTGGCACCGCACCGCCGCGCGGTGATGGCACACGCCTGTGCACCGGCTTCTGCCACCGGTTCTGTCACCTGTAGCGCCTGATGCTCCCCAGCCCCCCCACCCCCCGCTGTCCTGCTGGGTACCCTCATGCACGTCTGTGGTTTCGGTTATCCGCGGGCAGCGGCACATCATTTACACTCTGCCCAGGAGCTCAGTCGCTGGTGGGCTCAAGGGGAATGTCGCTGCTTCTCAGACAGTTCTAAGATGCTGCCGAGCCGCCCGTGCCCCAGCAACTTTTATCTCCTACGAATTCTGCTGAGTCACACGCTGCCTTGGCCAAACTCTACAGTGTGAGCTCCTCCAGGTAGCCAAACATAAATAGAATCTCCCACCAGAGACCAGCAAATGCACGGACAAATCTTCTGGCGGCTTGCCTTTCCCCAGTATAAGAGAAGAATACCTTGGATTCACACAACAGCATTGCTCAGAGCTGGAACGGTGACTGTCCCGGGAAGAACAGCAAGCCTACAGCTCCATCTGGTGAGTCAGCCAGCCAGCCAGCGCCCTTGGCATGCCGAAAGGGAACTCGGACCCCAGCCAACACTTCGCTGAGTTGCTCACCCCAGCGGCGCCTCCAGGATTCATCTGCAGAACAGAAGGAAGGGACACCCGTTCTCCCAGCCCGCAGAAGGCATCTCTCAGGGCTGTTTTCAGGTTGACTTATTGGCAAAGTCCAGAAAGTGATTTTGGAAGAAACCTCTGTGCTATACTGAGTGAGATCCCGTCACACACTCCCTCTGTGCTAAAACCATTGCAGTAAACCAGCAGAACTGACTTAAAAAAAGAAGGGAAAAAACCCGGTGCCGAGTGCTGGCCTGAGGGGTTCTGTTAGTCCTGGCCAACGGCAGACAGCTCAGGGCATGTTTCTGTGCCGAAACCAAGCGTTGCCAATATTCTTCCTGCTGTTTTCCTCTGCTCAGCAGGAGGAAGGTAGATTTGACCGTTTGTTTCTCAGCACAGAGAGCATGTAGCACTCCTGCACGCAGTGCTGCTCGTCCTCACCGCCTCCAATGAAGGTGAATCCATTCCCACCTCACCAGCAGAGGTAAGGGGGAGAAAGATGTGTCCAGGACTAACACAGCCTCAACATCCCAACCCGGAATTACAACACAGCAAGTAGTGGCTGCTCGTCCTGTGTTCGGATGGGAATCGCATGTTCCGTTCATTTTCCAGCAGCGCCGTGCTGCAGCTGCTGCGGTACCTCTGGGTCGGGGTAGCCTGGAGGTCCAGCACTGGTGTCACACTGCAGTCTCGGCACAGGACCGAAGGATGAAGGCAACACTCAAAAAATGTTATTTTTGCTTTGAATCTTAGTTTTTAGTTACAAACTTCCCTCCTGTGTTTATGCAACAGCTGAGACTTCGTTCAGCACGAGTGGAAGGTGAACTTACTTTTACATGGATCATGGATTTTATCTATCTGGACTTTGTTCCTTGCTACAAAATGCTAACAGCTTCTCGCCTCCTCTCTCCCCCCCAGCCCACCAAGCACTCAGAAGTATAACACCCCCTGCTGTTGCTCTTTCTTTCCCGGTGTGGGATTTGACACGGTGGAGGTGTCTTTGTTCCGTGAGAGACCTCACGAGTACCACACTGCTACTCAGGGTAAACAGGCCTGTAAACCCAGTGCACACCGTTTCAATTATAACCAGAAGGTTTCAGCTCCAAAAACGTAGCATTGCCATTTGCCAAAAAATTGCTGGTGTAGAAACTATCTTCGCCAATGAGCACGCTTGCAGGGGCATCTCCCAGCAAAGGGCAGGCGTGCCGGCTCCGCGGGAGAACGCCCAGGCCTGTTTTTAACAACTTGCTCTATTTCACACCACGTGGGAAGAGAGCTCTCGTTCCCGTCTCTGGACTGCCTTTCCTTCTGGAAGTGTGCGGCACGGCGTCCTGGAGCAGGGGCATGCAGGCTCTTGGCCAGCTAAAGCAGGCAGAGGAGGCTGCAGCGTTCGGGTCCCTAAACAGCAAGACAGATCACATGGGGCGACCCATTCATGGAGCTGTGGGCTGACGTTCTGTTTTTAGCCTACCCTGGAGGCAGGGCTAGAGCTGGTTTCATTACAGAGTCACCTCTCAGTAACTCAAAACTGTACATACCGTCTCAGAGCTCAATTTCAAACATCAAGTTAGAGCCTTTCCTCATGTATTCCTCCCCACGTTCCTACACAAACCATCAGTTCAATCAGTTCTGTTATGCGGAGGTGACGGGCGAGAGCATCACCGACGTGAGCGCTAGAAGTGAGAAGGGTCCTGTGAACTGAAGGAACCTTGTGAACAGAAGCACACCCCCCTGCATGTCTTACCACTATTTCCTGATACTGACAAACACAAACACATCACCCTAAGGGAAACAAACGAAATTTTAAGAAACCATTCTGGTTTTAATCTGACAGCTATCAGCCTCCTTACAATCCCCACAACAGTAACGACAATCTAACGCCCAGTGGTTTCGGAGCTCCTTAATGGACCGGAATGTCGGAGTTCTAAGTAACAGGGCAAAGAAAGGGCACACGCACATGAACCTCTAGTTTTTTCTCTTGTGCAGACAGTGTTACATCCATGGTGTGAGAGGAAATAGACAAAATCTATGCCCACAGTGACAATCTTAAAAGGATGATTTATAAATAAGACTGTGGCGTGAAAAAGTCAGCACAGCAGAAGAGGGAAGGCCAGGATCCCTGTTCCCCAAACTACACAGCATGAAATTAGCAATTCATTTAATCCTGATGTAACGGGAGAATGGGAATGGGTATGTAATTAGCCGATGAGCTTGACTACTGTTTGTTAGCACTGAACCATCCTAACCAAACCAAGCACTGAAAACTGACTGCAGGGAGGTGAAAGTGCAGACTATGCAGAGTGTTTCCCCTCGGCCCTTTAAAGGAGACGACCCAGAAAAGCTCCTTGATTTGGCAGTTCCCATCCTGTGCAGGGACACGGAAATAGGGCTGGTTTCTAACCAGAACCTCTGGAGTTTTGATTTCAAGAACTATACAGACCTTCCCCCCAGCACTCCCACCTCCCGCTCAACCCCAACATCTGGAGGTAAGCCAGCGTTTTGTCAGCGAACACGCAGAACTGGACCCAGGCTACAAGCGCTACTCACACACCAGTGCTCCTGTTCACAGCAGCGTTAGGGCTTTCCGTCTGGAACAGCATGAAAGCACAGCTCGGAAGGGAACGCCTGCATCGCGGGTTCTGTGACTTTAACCGACAGCTCCGGGCTGGCAGTGGGAGACCCTCTGCATTAATACCGTGACGGGACTCGCTCACACACTGCGTCAGGCCCAGCGGAACAGCGCTGCCTCTCCCCAGTTGCAACGACTTGTTTCATCCGCAGGTCAAACAGGATCAAGACATCATTTATTTTAATAGGAAGGAAATGGTTCCCGTTCCACATGGTACTTAGCAACGCTCACTTGTGTTCAGTGATCCCACACGAGCGCTCCAGGAAGTCCCGAGCATCCTTCAGGAGCTGCCGCGAGCACACCCAGCAGCCCCACGGCTATCACCCGTGTACGTGCCCGCCCCACACTGCGTTAACGAACAGCGACAGTACGCTAACTCCATACAAGCCTCGGGAGCCAGCATTAGGGCTTCAGCCCACGTCCAGTGCAAGCAGTCCTACACACAGACGGTACTTCCTCCTTCCTCAAGTGTCTTCCTCCACGTTTGCTCTTGGTGTTTTTTTCTAGTATGACTTACACAAAACCAAAAAGCATTTCATATTAGACTATTCCATGTCAATCACAACAGCAAGAGGTACAAATATCCTTGGGAATACAGTGTGCATCAAGATCGGGCTGTGAATGGCTTTATTTACCACCCACTGTGTATTGCATAAACCCACACGAAACACCACACGGCACACATGTCATTGGCCAAGCGCGTGCATCCCTGCAGTTGTACCGATGCTGCTACACGCCTCGAAGCCCCTACACTCAAACTTCAGGCACCTGTGTGCGTGGAAAAGAAGCTTTAGAAAACCAGTAGTTCCATGAAGAGTGAGCGAGGAGATGTGCTGGGGCTCTTGGAAAACGGTGCTCTGGTGTGAAACAAGGCGTGAGTCACTCAAACCACACGCTACAGTCCGCAGGGGGCCCTGACACGCGTGTGAAGGCACCCTTACCACTGCAGCCACCCCTCCAGAAACACCTCTTCCCTGCAACAGCTGCCAGCAGGGACACAGCTTTGTGCCATCTGGAGAAGCAGACCCAGAGCTCGAGAAAGATGCTTTCAGTAGACAAGAGCGGGAATTCTTCTCCCCCCCCGTACGTGATTTAGCTTGGTGGTTGGGGTTTGGGAAGCTAAAGCACCTAAGACGTCCTCCGATGGTTTGAGAAACTTCAAAAAGGCCCTGGAGCTCTGTCCTATGGCTTCAGTTTGCCCTCCTTCACTAACCGCTCATTGAGCTGGCAAAGCTGCCTTAGAAAACCGTCGTTGGGGCCAATCTCCCGCTTCTGCCGGACAGTGCTCAGTGCAGTCTTGACATCCATATTCTGGCGAAGCATGAGGTAGGCGATGACCAGCGTAGGAGAACGGCTGTAGCCCTCACGGCAGTGCACAAACACTTGTCCTGCAGGGAAGACAGGTCATAATTGGGTCATACTGGAACATATGTTTGAAAAGCAACAGGAAATAGCCAGGATATAAAGCGTCATAGTAGTCCTTCAGCAGACTGAGAAACGTAAATCCTGAATGCTACAGAAGACTGCGGAACAGGGAGGAAGGGTGCTGTCGTTAGTAGCTAGTCTGTCACCAAAGACAGCGTTGCAGAAGATGCTCATGTATCAAACATGCACACTAAAACAGTTGCTCCCTTACTACAGCCAAACTGGGTCTATTTAGTACACTTCTCCAAGCTTCTGTGGTTTAGAATAAGCCTTGCCCCTATTGCTGACCGGTGCCGAAGAGCACAGAGACACGATGCAGGTTTACGCTGACGGCAGCAATAAGCTGGTTGTCATACGCTGCGTCTCTTCACAGGTATTCAGCCTGTTTGCTGCCGATTTCTGTGCTCACTCCACGTTGGCTCGTACCTGCCTGCTTCCCTGGCTAGTGAGGAGTCACGTGAACGCTCTGCTGCTGACTGCAGCAACACGAGCCAGGACCATCTAATCACACCTACGCCAGCCCCAGTGAAAGGCACCAGCTAACCGATTCGGGAACTCGTTCGACGTTTCTGTGGGGTTGCGGTGGGTTTACATGGCAAGGCTTTGGTAGTGGGGAGGGCTGTGGGGAACGCTTCTGTGCAAAGATGCCAAAAGCTTCCCCCACGTCCAACAATCAGTGCCAGAGGCTCCCAGACGCACCCGCCGCTGGCCAAAGCTGAGCCCATCAGTGACGGTGGGGATGCCTCTGCGGTATCGGATTTAAGAAAGGGAAGAAAAATCTGCTGCACAACAGCAGATGGGAGAGAGAATATGTGAGGGGAATAGCCCTGCAGCCCCCCAGGTCAGGGAGAAGGGGGGCAGGAGGTGCTCCAGGCACCCGAGCAGAGGTTCCCGGCAGCCCGTGGTGCAGCCCATGGTGAGGCCGGCTGTGCCCTGCAGCCATGGAGGGTCACAGGGGGGCACAGACCCCCTGCAGCCCAGGGCGGATCCCATGCCAGAGCAGGGGGATGCCGAAGGAGGCTGTGACTCCATGGGCAGCCCATGCTGGGGAAGGCTCCTGGCAGGAGCTGTGGCCCCATGGGGAGAGGAACCAGGCTGGAGCAGGTTTGCTGACAGGGCTTGTGACCCCGGCGGGGGCAGGCTGGAGCAAGGTCTCCTGAAGGATGGCACCCCGTGAGGTGACCCACTGGAGCAGTTTGGGAAGAACTGCTGCTGTGGGAAGGACTCACGTTAGAGAAGTTCATGGAGGACTGTCTCACATAGGTGGCACACCACACTGGAGTAGGGTCAGCGTGTGAGGAGGAAGGAGTAGCAAAGCCAACTGTGATGAACAACCGCAACCCCCATTCCCTACCCCCTGTGCTGCTTGGGTGGGAGGAGGTAGAGAAAATCAGGGGTGAAGTTAAACCCAGGAAGAAGGGAGGGGTGAGGGGAAGGTGCTTTAAGGTTTGGATTTATTGTGCTCATTATTGTGCTCTGCTCTGATTGGTAAATAATGAAATCAGTTTCCCCAAGTCGAGTCTGTTTTGCCTGTGACAGTAACTGCTGAGTGATCTCTCTGTCCTTATCTCGACCCATGAGCCCTGCGTTGTATCCTTCTCCCCTCGCCCAGCTGAGGGGGGAGTGAGAGCACGGCTTGCGGGGCA